ATATACATATAATTTATATCACTTTAAAATAATTTCTGGAATTATAAGAAAGTTATGAAGAAGAATATATGATTGAACAACTTGTCACTACTGAGATAATAATGTACCACTATAGGAAATATTTTTTTTATTAAGGAACATTATGTGCCTAATCACACAACTAATCCAATTGAAAGGATAATATCGATTATAACGTCATTGATGCTTAGAGAAAAGAGGAGTTTTAATATATTGAATATATTGTTGGAGAAAAGTTTCTACAACTATCAAAGCGTAAGAAATCCGATGAATTCTGATGCACTATTCTTCCATTTTCTTTGTTTGTTTACGCGAATTTCAGACGCGATCCTCCTATGCGGCGCGAGAAATAATAATGCATCGAACACGATATTAACAATTATATGTTTTACACGGAGTAGAAGCGATTCTCTCTTACTTGACGAGGCTCGAGGATCACGAGGTCGCGCGCTACGTGTGCTTCAAGTCATCGCACGTTACAGCAATTTCCTTATATCCATTCCCCATAAATCCAGTAACGAGAAGGAGAGAAAAAGAGGGACGAATATGAATCACGGCAGGACAGCAAGAAAGCGCTATGTGAATCATCGTGCGAGAAAGATCATACGCCACGGATCGAAAAAGCTACACCACTGACGAAATTACGATAAACGACTGCCGGCCCTGACGAGGGACTAAATTTTCTACTATCAATTAGACATTTAGGAGGGATAAGGCAGAACATTGACATTATCGACCGTTTTTCGGTCATTCGATATAAATATTTGAACGTTTAGCCATGCGTATTTTACGATTATTCCGATGTTCCGATTTAAATCACACGTCTCTATTATAGAACATCGTATTATATGTTATACGATATATATTTTAATCCTATTTTATCGTTTATATTTTATATATTATACATGCGTTTATCTATACGATGTATCAAATATATTTTTATATAGGAAAGTATTATTCTCTTTTGTGTATAGAGAAAACAATTGATAACACCGCTTTAGTATTATCTCCGAATAATCGCGGGAATTTATTCAGGGTCGACAGTCTTTAATAATCTCATCGGTGCTCTTCGGAGCGATGTATATATCGGAACAGAATTATCGCGTTGTTGAAGGAGGAAAAAAAGGGGTGCGCTCTTACCTGCGGCAGCAGAATTCGTCGCGTTCGTTTGTCGCGGTCGTGTATCAAGTTACACTAATTAAATACGACATGTAGAGAACGTTTCTGGACATGTTCCGTCCGTGCGATCATGCGTACGCGTAAAACGCATTGCTGGCAGGCAGGTACAGGGGCAAGGCACGCAACAACGACAATCTACACGCGCTTACTACACTGATCATCCTCTCCTTGTTCCTCCTCACGTACCATGATGAACGAAACGTTACAGATGTTGGTCATATGGTCATTCGTTGAACACCGATAAGGTTCCATATCCGGCCAATAGCATCGCGGTATATGATCCGAAATCGTTCGAATTTCATATAATGTATATTTTAAATCGAAATCTTAAATCGATATCACATATATACAAACGTGATATAAAAGATGCCGTTCTATTGTTAGATTCTTCGTATTGGACTAGACGCGTGATCGATTCATTTTTATTAAGGATTTATTCGATAATTCATAGCGGAAAATTGATTTAAGGTGGGCGGTCTTTAATAATATTTCGTCGATGCCGAATCTGACAATTCTGATAGTAAATTTCGGAACGCACAGCCACTTGTTTACCGCGCAATCGCGATTATGTTTGAACCTGAATCTGAATTTGACAGATTCTTGATAAGAATTCTTGCATCGCGAACTTTTCTCTGAAATGCATTTCAATTTTTTAAACCACAATTTCGGATCGATTGTGCAATTATTAGTGAACACTTCTCAGTGTTTTACTTCTTAAATCTCACTTTAATATTTTCCAATCTCAATTGTTTTAAATTCCATAGAATCTAATTTGAAACAGCATTTGTTATGCAAATTTTGACACAAATAGCACGATTTTTAAAGAGATTTCATTTATTTAAAATTTAAAATACTTTGTATTTTATATTGAGATGCAAATTTCATTTCACATGCACACAACATACACACATGAATACATGATATATATTTTTAAAAATTTGCTCGTATGAAATATAAAATAGTGTCTTTTGTGTATATGTGAAGTTTTTATATAACTTAAATTTGATATATATTTGATATACTAGTCATTCCCCTGTGATTGATTCAATGATTTTTATTATGTCATGCATTTTTCGTGACGTGAAAGTAAGTGTGAAATACGTAACATGTAATAGCGAGTTGTATCTTTATTATTTCAAATATTTGTAGCACAGGCACAATACGTTCAACTTGATGCTTCCGGATAAATCCGGAATTGATCAATCGGTCTAAACGTCGGACAGATGTGTAATAAAACACATGTCCTCGCAATGACGCGAAGTGTCCATTTTCGAACGCAAAAGATGTATATGTGAAAACATAATTCTCTTTTTTTGTATCTTTTTCGTTACACAATTCCGCAGCGGCTTTGATATATGTTCGCGCGATTCCTTATAAAAAAAAAATTACAAAATAAAATGTACAATTAGACGGAAGAAAAAAAATGCACGTACAAAATCGATACACTTAGAGGCAACATAAGTACATGTCATATAATTATACAAGAGAATTTTCGTGTTACAATTTCTTTTTAAACTAAACGGAACCTCGTGTATGGTAAATGCTTAACTCGGCAGTGGTAGGAGACGCCAGAATTTGTTTATTATTGATAATGTGATAAAAATATTTCTCTTAATACAAGATTAATAAATGCATCAAGTATGAGATCATACTTATAGATCTCAATATTATATTTCAGAATTAGATGCAACATATAAAACGTGTGTGTGTATATATGAAAGGTTATTAAAATATTATTATATATACAAAATGTGCAAATCGTAATATTCATGATGCAAAATCAATTTTTTTGTTATTTTAAAAGCCAATCTGAGAGTTTATATTCTGCATTTGAAATACGATTGTTTTTGAAATATTTTTTATATTTTTTATATTTTGGTATAAAAAAATAATAGATTATTTGAATAATTTAGAATCAATATATTTAATTTAAAAAATATTTAAATATATTTTTGATTTTTTCTCTGTTCTCTTTACATTTATTAAAATCAATGTAAAGCAACTCGCGTGTTTACATGAGTAAATATATATACAATTAAACATTTAAAAATGTCTTTTTAGAAACAAGAACCGAAATTACCACATCCATAGGATAGAATAAGATTGTAAAAACAAATTTCGTATCAGAGTAAAAAAAATTAGCACCACTTTTAAAAAAATACAATCAACGATTTATGGGAACCCCGTAAATAGAAAGACACTATATAATACTTATTCATATTACATCATCCTACCTAATATACACTATAAATGCTCGTTTTTCACGAAATGACAGAATAAAAAAACGCAGTCTTAAACATCTAAACAATTTAACTTTATATTACGTATACTTTGTAAAATGTTAAAGATGATCATCAAAATAATGAGTTTTATTGACACTGCAATTTATTTAATTACGAAAAATTCTTTTTTGACACAATAATGAAAAGAAAAACTAAAATAAAAATTATGTTATTATGGTCAATAAAAGGAAAATCATTTTTGTCCTGTACCACGCGCACACACTAAAAGTATTGTAACATTTCCAAGTTTAAATGTTTTTTCGTTGTGTGTATGTGTATATCTATACATGTGTATATATAGGATGTCATTTATTATATAGCTTACTAATAACGTTTTTGAGTAAAGTAGGTTTGATCGCTTTGCCATGAAAATATGTTCGACTAAAAATGGATTTTGAGAATGATTAATATAATTAATACATTAATAATATAAATACTACAAAGAACATCCTCTTTAACTTTATTAAGCTATTTTGGCTTTAAAGCATAAGATTTTTTGTCTTGATTAATCGATCAAATGCTTATTCGAAATATTTTATTGATTAATTTAATAATCCAAGTATCCCTAGAACCCAAGACGGAATCTATGACATCGTGACATAATCGCTCTCAGAGCGATTAAACTTGCTTCATTCGAAAACGCTATAATATCCTTTTCCCACAACATGTAAAAATAAATCTTAAGCGTATTTTTTATAAATAAAGTATAATTTTTTAAAAACTATTTGACGTTTTAGTTCAGAAAATAGCTCATTGTTATTTGAAATGCGATCCACGGGTTATTTCGCACTTTAGCCCTGTAATACCACTGCCGGGTTAAGAATGAACAGGGTCCACAGTGTACCATATGTCTGAATTACAAAGTCACATTTATTATCTCGATTCAGCTATCTCAGCATCATCGATATATATATTTTATATATATATATGATGTATATATTTAATACGTGTGCTGAAAAATCGGTATAAATGTAACCTACGAAAAGGAGTAATATTACCGCGCAATAATCGTCACTTGTAGCTTAGACAAAATTTGGAAGAACTGTAACGCCGTTTTTTCCCTTACGTTTCCCTATTTCTACTATTGCCAACGCTACTTTATATCCGGTAGTTTTTAGAAAATCGAACGGATACTCGTTAAATATTTACGTCACGAGTACGAGATCGATTAAACACGTCAGTTTATAATTCGAGCACCATTTGGCTAATGTTGATAATAATTAGCAGCGAATTGAATAAATGAAATTTCGACAAGTCTAAAATCGCTACCCCGTAACTCTCTTTCTCTTGAATCGCTATCATTATTTATGCTACGTTGCGACATTGTCGATAAACTTCGATTGATATTAAATACGATCTAAGGCTAATCACTTATGTCTAAATCACTACCATCGGAACTATCGACGATGAGCGTTCAGTTAGTTTCTTTCGCTGCATCTCGCGATGTTGGCAACTACGGCACTTGACTAATACTGACTCGCCGTCTTTCCTAAGCTCCCTATTTCTTATTTGCTATCATCACATCTAATTAATAATTAATTTTTTTAAATCGAACAACGATTCTCTATTTTATCTATCAATATTTTCAATTGTCTTAGCGACCAACATCGTATGCTCGAAAGCAGCAGTAGTAAAGTTTGTTTTATATAGAGAGTGCTACAGGTCTTCCATAATTTTTCTAAGATAAGTAATTAATTACTTCGTAATAGTTTCGCTAACCAGCGACCGCCCGCCCTATTTGGCTTGGGCTGGGATTTCGGGGGGACGTAGGGCGGCGATATGGTATCTTTTTTTCCTTTCTTTTTGATTGGTATTGATCTAAATCTAGTATTTGGACGAAGTGCAAGGATGGGTCGTGCGTGCTTTTGCTTTCTAAATCGAGCGTGCGCAAATTCTTATAAATCGTTTTTTTTTTTAACTTTTAGCCGTATGCTTTACTTTCTTGTTTCCTTGTGTGACCACTTATCGTCGTTAATTAATTTACTCGATATATTCTCGAGAACAAAAAGATTGAAAAGGAGAAAAGAATATTGTTATTATGTATGAAAAGAACAAGGGGAAATATCATGGAGCAGCCCTGAGAGAGAGCGAACAACACGCTTGTAGGAGTAATGCATGTGCGCCTGTGTGTGTATTGTGTATGTGTATCTGAACATATGGATCTCTCATACGAATGAACGTTTCACTCAATGTGTAAATTGCGAATTTACTTATAATATTACTTCATTAACGTTTGCTTTAACCTCAAGTCTTAAGAGTCGTGTGACGCGAATCCGCGCACCCATGCCTCGAGTTTGTATACAAGTGACAACCTTCTACGCTGAATATCGACACTTCTGCAATAGAATCAATGATATTGTCATGTAAGACAAATGTTATTTCGACAATAATGGTGTGTTGTATCACAATCTAGTAAACATATGTATATATCTTACCGTCAGGTAATTCGTATAATTTCCTAGGAAGAGAAGCGAAATAGGGGTGTGCTAACGCTTCCTCCGCTCCTATCCGTTGATCGGGATTCAGTTGCAGGAGCGACGACGCCATACTATCTCCCTCGGCGATGTCGTAGAGCCGGGGAAACGAGAGCCCCAGTTTCCGCGGTGGATAAAATAACAGTCTATGTGCCTTATACCCGGGCAAATGCGTAACACCCGGCCAAGTCTCCTCGGTGGGTGTGCCCAACACTTTAAATATTTTATCGAGTTGGTCGTACGTACAGCGTACACCTGGGAATGTCGGTTCGCCAGTTAACATTTCCACAAATATGCAACCTACTCCCCACATGTCGAGGGAGGTGGAGTATTCTGTGGAACCTAAAAGAACGTCGGGCGGCCTATACCATAAGGTCACGACCTCGTGCGAGTATGTATGCGATGGCACAGATTTTGCTCTCGCTAACCCAAAGTCTGCCAATTTAAGCTCTCCTATCTCGCTGATTAATAAATTCTGCGGCTTTACATCTCTATGCAGGACTCTCCTAGAGATATGCGATAACACAAATTAATCAACGCATATCGCAGACGAGACATTGACATTATACACTATATATTTGTAATTACCTGCGATGACAGTACGCCAATCCTCTCAATAATTGAAAAAGAAACAATTTAACATTACGCGGGTCTAATCCTCCGTTACCGCTTCCATACCTCTCCATGTATTGCGATAAATCGGTGTGAACGTATTCGAATACGAAGGTGAGCGTCTCGCGTGTATGAATAATATCGTGTAAGGTCACGATATTGCTATGTTTCAACTCTTTGAGGAGACTTGCCTCGCGAATGGCAGTAAACGGAGCTCCTTCCTCCTCTTGCAGTCTAATTTCTTTAAGAGCCACCACCTGATTAGTGAGATGGCTGTAGCCTTTGAACACTGTGGCGTATGATCCCTCTCCCAACTGCTCCAGTTTTATATAAGCCTCGGATTTACCAAACGGCGAATCTCCCTGTCGAGTCAAAATAAGGAATTGATGTATATTAATATATAACATTTTACTAGAAAATAAGCATATACAAAATGAGCATATGTATAAAGCATATTACCCCAAAGGCGGAGAATCTTTTAGTTCTTCTAGGTGGATCCGGGCCGAGAAAAACTTCAGATTTGGGCCGTGGTGGACGTCGGGGCCGCAGGATTACCCTAGCTTCTTCCCGTATGTCTTCATCGAGAAGCTTGGAATCGCTAGAAACCGAAAGCTGCCGATGCACTCTCTCATGGTCGCCCACACCTGTCCATTCTATGACAGTCCAATTTCCGAAAACATTCTTAAAATAATAGTAATAGAAATATATACAAGATTATATAGATTTTTATAAAAATTTACTTGAAAATCTAAATACATAAAATTATATTATGCATATATATTTATAAAGCTGTCAAATAAAATTTACCATAACGATGATCTTTATCCACAGGTATGTTGCCATTTGGCTCCAAACGATCTAGGAACTCCTC